TCACACTCATCCCCATCAGATCTGTAGAGACTGTAAAGACACTCAGTCCAGCTCATCTGTATCTTCACATTAATGTTCATCAAAAGACAATTCAGAATCAAAGCTATGAAGAGTTGCCCTATACCAAATAGCAGATTGAGTAATTGGTGAGTATAAAGATGAAGAATATAATCTTAGTTCTTTGCATTTTTGTTATTGTCCTGTTTTTCAGATCAACAGCTCCCACTCCCCTCTCACTGACAAACCCAGCCTGCAACAGAGGAACGTGATTGGACACCCTCACGTGTCACTTAACAGGGCAAGAACAGCTGATTGGCCAGCTCACCCCCTTGAGCCTCCCTTGGGGGGCTTTTGTTTCGGACCTGTAAATGGGATGGATAAAGAACTCCAGTCCAGCCCCTGGAAAGAGCAGAGAGAAGAGATTAACTACATTGTGATTGAACTACTGAGCACAGTCCGGCACTATCCTGCTACACTCACAGATAATTCTCTATTAGATGACTCTCTATTAATAGCACTCTGTTCCAGCTATCTGCCTTTCAATTAAATCTATATACAGTAATTGGAAGTAGAGAGCGGTCCAATACAACTCCATATAGTTGACTGGAGTCTGGTATAGTTCCACTCTCTGCACTGCAGAACAGTATGATACAGTACAGTAAAGAGCAGAGCAGTGTAATAAGGTGTAGTACAGTATTAGGCAGTAAAGTGGAGTACAGTGTAATAAGGTGCAGTACAGTAAAGTGCAATGCAGTGCAATAAGGTGCAGTACAGTATAATACAGTACAGTAAAGAGCAGAGCAGTGTAGTAAGGTGTAGTACAGTATAATGGAGTAAAGTGGAGTACAGTGTAATAAGGTGCAGTGTAATACATACAGTAAAGTACTGAGCAGTGTGATAAAGTGCAGTACAGTATGATTCAGTACAATAAAGTGCAGAACACTATAATACAGTACGGTAAAGTGCAGAGCAGTTTAATAAGGTGCAGTACACTCTGATACAGTACAGTAAAGTGCAGTACAGTATAATAAGGCGCAGTAGATAGATAGATAATACTTTATTAATCCCGTAGGGAAAATGATAGTACAGTACAGTCTGATACAGTACAGTAAAGTGCAGCACAGTATAATAAGGTGCAGTACAGTCTGATACAGTACAGTAGAGTGCAGTACAGTATAATAAGGTGCAGTACAGTCTGATACAGTACAGTAAAGTGCAGTACAGTATAATAAGGTGCAGTACAGTCTGATACAGTACAGTA